TGAAAAGGGAGTTCTGCTATTTGAAAAGGGAGTTCTGCAATTTGAAAAGGGAGTTTTGCAATTTGAAAAGGGAGTTTTGCTGAGTTTTGCTATTTGAAAAGGGAGTTCAGCTATTTGAAAAGGGAGTTCTGCTATTTGAAAAGGAAGTTCTGCTATTTGAAAAGGGAGTTCTGCTATTTGAAAAGGGAGTCCTGCAATTTGAAAAGGGAGTTCTGCTATTTGAAAAGGGAGTTCTGCTATTTGAAAAGGGAGTTCTGCTATTTGAAAAGGGAGTTCTGCTATTTGAAAAGAGAGTTTTGCTCTTTGAAAAGGGAGTTCTGCTATTTGAAAAGGAAGTTCTGTCATTTGCAAAGAGAGTTCTTCTATTTGAAAAGGGAGTTCTGCTATTTGAAAAGGGAATTCTTGCATTTGAAAAAGGAATTCTGGACCTCTAGGAAGAACAGTTTAGAACTGATAGAGCTATCCAGTATAAATAAAGTTAGTTTAGTTTAGGGTTTCCTCCTGTAGTAACACTGGATCGATAAGAGATGATCCTTACTGGACCTCTAGGAAGAACAGTTTAGAACTGATAGAGCTATCCAGTATAAATAAAGTTAGTTTAGATTAGGTATCCTCTTGTAGTAACACTGCGATGGATCAACAAGAGTTGATTCCTACTGGATCTCTAGGAATAACAGTTTAGAACTGACACCAGATCAATAACTGATTTATATTTTAACTATTTAACTTTTAGAACAACATATCAAGTCAAATATCCAACAAAGATAGTTTATCGCCTTCCCTCAAAGCCCTGGTTCACAGCATTTGGTCAGACGCAATTGGCGAGCTAACATCTTTGCTGAGCGTCTCTGTTGAACGACTTAAACTCCAGGATATCGGCAAAGCCGAGGGAATTTTACAAGCTATACGTGAAATATCAGACAAAAAAAGGCACTCGCAAGAAAATTTGAAGAAATATTCAGATGAGTTTTACTCGCTTATTCCACACAACGAAAAAAACACGAAAGAAATAAATACAAAGCGAGTTATTGCTGAAAAACAAGATCTTTGTCAGGTATGTTATGATTGGCTTGACTGTAGCAGAAGCTTTCTGATTGGTCAGGGGAACAATGCGATGAGTTTCTAAGCCAATCAAATGATTTGAGTCGTAAGGCGGGAAAGTTTACGTCAATTTAGTTTTTTTTTCAGTTTTTGCTGTTATTTTAGTGAATTTCTGTAGTAATTTATAGTAAACGTTCATGAATTTGGAATTGAAAACACTTGCCGTTATAAAACAAATGGATGAGAAATCTTCCTTATTTTGTTTTTAATCTTTAGTTAATCAAAGATATGTTAAACGTCAGCGAGGCGACAAATTTCTCTTCACGAAGTAGCGACGAAGCCAAGTACAAAGCGTTGGGTTGTCATCTTGAAAAAGTTTCCGAATCGTCCGACGAATATATGAATATTGTCAACAGAGTTCAGTCAACGTCAGTGAGGTAGACAATTGTTTGTTATTCATTTAGGTTTACTTCTGCAATAACACTGGATCAATAAGAGATCATCTTTACTGGACATCTAGGAAGAACAGTTTAGAACTTATAGAGCTATCCAGTATAAATAAAGTTAGTTTAGTTTAGGTTTCCTCCTGTAGTAACATTGGATCAATAAGAGATTATCCTTACTGGAACTCTAGGAAGAACAGTTTAGAACTGATAGAGCTATCCATTATAAATAAAATTAGTTTAGTTTAGGTTTCCTCCTGTAGTATTTAAACACTGGGTCAATAAGAGATAATCCTTACTGGACCTAGGAAGAACAGTTTAGAACTGATAGATCTATCCAGTATAAATAAAGTTAGTTTAGTTTAGGTTTCCTCCTGTAGTAGCACTGGATCAATAACTGTATTACCCACACTCGCGTCGTATTTTTTCTAGTGATATCAAAGTCCAGAATGTCTTCACTTGTCAACGTCCTGTCGAAGCGGCGAATTTTCAGCAACACATTGGCAACGTAACTCAACTCTTTCATTCATCGAAAGCTCAAAACTTCCTGGGTATTTTATCGCGAGGTCTTCTGCTACCGAAAGTTGTTGTCAGTGATTATGGCGGTGAGCGCTCGGATGCTGGCAGCTTGGGGACTGGAATCTACTTTGGTCTAGATGCTTCAACTAGTGTGAAATACTCGTCCCCAGGTCTAACTCGAGGATCACGGTTCTTGTTAATATGTGACGTAGCTTTGGGCAGTGTTAAGGTAATGTGTCTATTATATCTTCACTTTTCGCGCGAAGGGTAAGGTTAGATCGTCATTTGGTCGAGATCAAAGAAAAAAATATTTGTGTTCGAACTACGAGTGTCTATTTCTCGAATGTGTGAACAGAAGGCGTTGTGCACCCAGCGTTAGTATAAGATAGGCTGCGATACTATCTACTATACATCGATGTTATGGTTTGGTAATTCTTCCGTTTCCATAAATGTTTTTATGGTTTTTATGGTTTGACTCCCTTCCTGAAATCGTCGTCTCTAATAAGCCTCCTGTGATAATTATATACTAGAAGCCCCCTCTCTAATAACTGCCTTCTCTAATAACCCTCCTCTCTAATAAACCTCCTTCTGTAATAAACCTCGTCTCTAATTATATCCCTCTCTCCAATACGCCACTTCACTTATTGCAGGAGAAAAAAAAGACAGCACCGTCCGTGATTCAAACTAGGATATATATGTTTATAGATTAGATTTCTTGATTTTCCTTGAAATTTGCGTATCTTGATGGTGGATGTGTATATGTTAATTTGAAAATCTCTAATTGTTTTCAGGATTTCACGGAATTTGCACGTGACCTTGAGAGTGCACCTGAAGGTTACCAAAGTTGCCACGGTGTTAAAAACAAGCCCGAGGTTTACCCAACACATTTTCAACAAGATGAATATGTTATTTATTCCATCAATCAACAGAGGATTACGTATTTGGTCGAATTCAGTTTACCCGGAGATGATGTCATGGTTGGTGTTCCTGATAATATCACTGGAAGTGATGGGTAAGTGTCTTATGATTACATTAAACCATGTTTACACGAAACGCCGGGCCGTAGCAGGCTAGCTAAGGAAAACATACCACCTGGGCAAACTAAACTAACTATATTTATGCTGGATATCTTAAACTGTTCTTCCTAGAGGTCCAGTAAGGATCATCTCTTATTGATCCAGTATTACTACAGCAGGAAACCTAAACTAAACTAACTTTATTTATACTGGATAGCTCTATCAGTTCTAAACTGTTCTTCCTAGAGGTCCAATAAGGATCATCTCGTATTGATTCAGTGTTACTACAGCAGGAAACCTAAACCGAACTAACTTTATTTATACTGGATAGCTCTATCAGTTCTAAACTGTTCTCCCTAAAGGTCCAGTAAGGATCATCTCTTATTGATCCAGTGTTACTACACGAGATCCTAAATGTATAACAAAGAATTGACCTCACTGATGTTGACTGAACTCTGTTGACAATATTCATGTATTCGTCGGACAACTTTGAAACTTTTTCAAGATGACAACCCAACGCTTTGTGCTTGGCTTTGTCGCTACTTCGTGAAGAGAAATTTGTTGCCTCGCTGATTAACATATCTTTGATTAACTAATGGATACTGGATAGCTCTATCAGTCCAGTAGTTGCATGACAGCGTAAACGTCTTTGGAAGACTTGAGGCTGGTTTACACTATCGATGTTTGATTTGTTAAAGTGTGTGACAATGTAAAACGTTGAACATTTTTATTGTACAAATCAGTAACAGCGATCACAAAATTATCACAAGGGTATATAAAATATTAGAGTTTACTGCTAGTACAGTATTTACATTATTCAGTCTACTTATAGTCAACACATATCTTACACAATAGGTTCAACATTTGTAAATAACTAAGGTTATGTTAAACTATAGTCTAAATTGGTCAATATGATTATCCTTCTCAGTATTCTTAGAAATATATGTTCACACAACAACAGCAGTGGGAAACCATCTTGCTCGGGACATTTCTGGAAGTTCTTGCCAAGTATAACTTTCAAAGTTGAAAGCTTCAACTGACTTTAGATCACGTCCTCGCTCATCATCTCCTCCCAGTACTACAATGTTGTTTCCAATAACAACTGCAGTACATCCCCGTCTCTTACATCTCATTCGCGGCAGCAAGTGACTTTGTTCAGTCTTGACATTGTAAATGATAACTGTATGTAATACTTTGCCACGTTTATCAGCGCCGCCCATAAGAACGATGTTGTCTCCCCATCTCACAGTTGCCATCAAACTCACTTCATACGGCAGTGGTGCTAACTGTTTACATTCATTCTTCTTTATATCATACACTACGACACTACTGAGGTAGTCTTGGTATCTGTCAGTTGTACTTCCACCAACGATCAACAAGTTATCATCAAATAATTGCGTGCTGTGACCTCGTCTTGGTTCTGGCATTCTTGATAAGGTCTTCACAGTATACGGAGGAACCAGCTGGACTTCATGAATACAGTCAGATATTCCATTTCCATTATAACCACCAGTGACTATCAAGTGATCATTATACAGCACACTGCTGTGGCGTTCCAACTTAGAAGGTAGTTTAACTGGACAGTCAGTCCAGTGCATTGAGAGATCAGGGTTTGGGTTGAAATTCATTCTAATCATATCACTGACAAGACCAGGAGAGCGACCTCCAGCAATTGTCACATGATTGTTGTACACAAACGAAGTCGCTCCAAAACGCTTCTTTGGCAAGGATTGTAATGGCGACCATGTTCTTTGACGCCAGTTAAACATCTCTACAGAGTTAGTACCAGAACCTCCAGCAACAACTATATTTTCTTTATCACCACTTGCTGTATTTCTTACTTTTCTTGTGTTTTCTTCTTTCTTGTCCTCCATCTTGACAAGAACATCCTTCATTTCATCAAAACCTTCAATCAAAGCTGTTTTCAATCCTCTCACTTCATTATTTACTGCTTCGATGTCTGTTTTCATGTCGGTCATATTTGTTTCCACATTCGTCATTCTTTTCTTCATATCTGCCAAAGTTTTTGTCATTTCTCCGCACGAGTGGCACTTCAACTTTCGAAATTCACATAGTTCACTTTGATGGTGAATAAGATCACGCTGGTTTAAAGTTACACCACAGCCATGGTTTGTACAAACGGCTGGTGTAAATCCACATGTACCCTCATGGTTGTCAAGATGTTGTAATTGTAGGATCTCTTGACAACCTCTGTTGATGTAAATGCAATGAATGTTTAATTCATTTATATAATCTTTTACCATTCTTTGTGGTTCGGCCAAAGTCTCTAGGGTCAGTTCGTCCGCACACGTAGGGCATCTTCGAGAATTCTCGAGATGTTTCGTAATACAAGAACGGCAGAAACAATGATGGTTTCTCGGACACAGGACGGGCTCTCTTAAAACGTTGAAGCAAATCAAACAGAGAAAATTTCGATTGACTGTGGTCGCAAATCTCTCCTCATCATAGCCTTGTATGTACGATGCCATATCAGTTCACGCCATTCTTGTTACGTAATCACAAAGCAAGTTCTGTGTTGATGTTAGTCGCTCTGTAGTATAAACCTCGCTATATAGACTGAATATAGATACAGTGTTCGTTCTTCGAGAAAGTCTGCGTTAGTATTCCGCATAAAGTGTTTAATTAATGCGTCTTTACTCTTTGCTAGACAGGAATTTGCTGGCATGAGATAGAATATTTAATATCTTGTGACCAAAGGTCATCACCTGATGTTGACAAGAATTTCTTTTGTCGAAATATGGAAATAAGTTCCCAGAAAATGATCTTTTATACCAAGAAAAATCAATCTTGATAATATATATAAACTAAGCATATCATTATGAGCGATGTGGATACAGACAGTCTGTATTACAATTTGCTTCAAATCGTTTCCGTAATAGTATTTCAAGCGTCTGTTGCAATCGTAAACTGGTGTTTGTTTACGAACTGAAGACCGCGATGGGTGGTCATACCTTGTATTGGCAGATCCAGACTATTTCACATGTATTGTATAATAATAGAGTGTCGCATTAATCGATAAATATCCCCAGTCAGTGAAGACTAATTTACATACAGTACACAAAACTGACAAAAGACAAGATACATCCAGACTATTTCATATATGTAATGTAATAGAATGTTGATATATCTCTACAGTCAGTAAAGACTGATTTTCCATTTACATACAGCTAGCACACAAAAGACAAGAAATATATTTATGATTAATATTATAAACTGTTGGCACTGAGGTATAATTGTCTTTTGTGTGCTGTATATAAATCACTGTTTTATACTGACTGTAGATCAACACACTATACATTACATGTGAAATAGTCTGGATCTATCTTGTCTTTTGGGTGCTGTGTGTTCATTAGCACTGCATGCTCTATAGATATTGAAATTTCGTCAAGTATAAAACTAAAGTAAGTTACATTTTATGTCGCGCAATCATCAATTTTTGTCATTCATATATATTGTTTCACCAATATGAGGTGATTGCCACCCATCGCGCTCTTTTCAAAACAAACACCGACCTGCCATTGCGAAAGACGCTTTGAATACTATTACTGAAGCGATATTTGTCTTTTCCTCTAAAGACATAGGTTTGTGAATGATTTGAAGCAGGTTGTAATTCAGACTTTATCCACGCTGATCAAGATAACATTAATCTATATACATTATCAAGATTGATTTTTCTTGGTAGAGAAGATCATTTTCTTGGAACTAATTTCCATATTTTAAAACACGAAATTCTTATCAACATAATGAAACCAATTATAAGCCAGTATTAATATCAGGTGATGACCTTTGGTCACAAGATATCAAATATTCTATTTTAGCAAATTCCTGTCTAGTAAAGACGCTTTAAACACTTTATGCGGAAGCGATATTTATCTGCTGCTTTAAACTGATCATTTTGTTAAAGATTTCAAGCAAATACTAACACAGACTTTCTGGAAGAACGAACACTGTATCTATATTCAGTCTATATAGCGAGGTTTATACTACAGAGCGACTAACATCAACACAGAACTTGCTTTGTTATTACGAAACAAGAATAGCGTGAAATATGGCGTCGTACATACAAGGTTATGACGAGGAGAGGTTTGTGACCACAATCAGTCGAAACTTCCTCTGTTTGATTTGCTTCAATGTCCTTAAAGACCCGGTTCTGTGTCCAAAAAATCAACATTGTTTCTGTCGAGGCTGTATTACGAAACATCTCGAGAATTCTCGAAGATGCCCTACGTGTGCGGACGAACTGACCGTAGAGACTTTGACCGAACCACCACGAATGGTAAAAGATTGTATAAATGAACTGAATATTCATTGCATTTACATCGACAGAGGTTGTCAAGAGATCCTACAATTAGAGAATCTTGAACGCCACGAGGCTACATGTGGATTTACACCAGCCGTTTGTACAAACCAAGGCTGTGGTGTAACTTTAAACCAGCGTGATCTTATTCACCATCAAAGTGAACTATGTGAATTTCGCAAGTTGAAGTGCCACTCCTGCGGAGAAATGACAAAAACGTTGGCAGATATGGAGGAAAGAATGACGAATGTCGAGAAGAATATAGCAACGAATATGGTCAGAAAGGAGACTATGGTTACCATGGAAACCCACATGAAGAATATGCAAACGAATATGGCAAATATGGAAACACGTATGGCGAATGTGGAGAGGAATATGGTCGGCATAAAAACATATATGGAAGGCAAATTTGAAGGATTGAAAACAGCTTTGATTGAAGGTTTTGATGAAATGAAGGATGTTCTTGTCAAGATGGAGGACAAGATAGAAGAAAACCCAAGAAAAGTAAGAAATACAGCAAGTGGTGATAAGGAAAATATAATTGTTGCTGGAGGTGTAGGAACTGACTCTGTAGAGATGTTTAACTGGCGTCAAAGAACATGGTCGCCATTACAATCATTGCCAAAGACGCGTGAAGGAGCGACTTCATTTGTTCACAACAATCATGTGACAATTGCTGGAGGTTACTGTTTTGACTATGTTGATGATATGATTAGAATGAATATCAACCCAAACCCTGATCTCTCAATGCACTGGAGTGATTGTCCTGTTAAACTACCTACTAAGTTGACATGCCACAGCAGTGTGTTGTATAATGATCACTTATTAGTTTCTGGCGGTGGTGAAAGAAAGGGAGCATCTGACTATATTCATGAAGTCCAGCTAGTTTCTTCATATACTGTGAAGACCTTATCAAGAATGCCAGAACCAAGACGGGATCACAGCACGCAATTATTTGATGATAACTTGTTGATCGTTGGTGGAAGAACAACTAACAGATACCAAGACAGCCTCAGCAGTGTCGTACTGTATGATATAAAGAAGAATAAATATAAACAGTTGGCACCACTGCCGTATGAAGTGAGTGAGATGGCAACTGTGAGATGGGGAGCCAACATTGTTGTTATAGGCGGCGTTGATAAACATGGCAAAGCATTAGATACAGTTATCATTTACAATGTCAAGACTGAACAAAGTCACTTGCTGTCACGAATGAGATGTAAGAGACGGGGATGTACTGCAGTTGTTATTGGAAACAACATTGTAGTACTGGGAGGTCAGGATGGCCAACAACATGTCTTAAAGTCAGTTAAAGCTTTCAACTTTGGAAGTAATACATGGCAAGAACTTCCAGAAATGTCTCAAGCAAGATGGTTGCACACTGTTGTTGCTGTG